CATCGTCTCCAGTCGTTGCGTATTCGTTGCTGCTGTCGCCGCTGCTGCTGCTGCTGCTGTGTTCAAGTGTCGCCGTTGCTGCTGTGTTCTCTATATGACACATTGTATTCAGCACTCAATAGCAATGCATGTCGCGCGTTTCATCATTTCCAGAGGAGTTCGGTGTTCTCTTTGCACACCGCCTCTCACGCAGAGGGTTTCAAGCATAGTCGAGTTGTTTTTTGTTATTTTGTTGTTGGAGAAAAATGGGAAACTCGTCCGTTTCACCGCGGTGTTTGTACTTGTATTCGCTGCGGGGTGGTGGTGTAAGCGATCAAGTCTGTTCTTATCTGCCGTAGTTTTTGCTTTTTCTCGACTTGAGAACGAAACGCCCGTCGCATACCTCTCCCATGTATTCAACGGTATCACGCCTTGAATGCACGGCATGAGATGGGGGATGGGATGTTTTGAGCTTTTGCCTGTCGACTGAGATGATATGCCCTTGGCAAGAGTCAACTGGGGGGAGGGCGAAGAATATGCGCTTCTATCTGTTAATCTCTCTCGGCATGACCGATGATAAAAGTCCAGCTTGTTCTTGCTTTTTTTGTTTTCTGGTTCGAGCAGGCTCTCTGGCATTGTGGAATATTCCCACTTACACCAGCTTCGGCAGCAACAGCAATAGCAAATGAAACAAATGAAACATCGATTCATCGTAACAACACAGGTGGCCAAGGCGACCATGCTGATCGGCGACCCCAGCTACTTCCCTAGCCGCATGGTCAAGCCAACGGGCATGGTTGCGAGAAGCATCTGTATCATGGACCACCCCTTCAACGGCACCAACGACGCTGAGTCGACTCAGATCATCATCCCGGGAAGGCAGGCGAGTGCTCGCACTTGTCGCTATGAGACAAGAGCATGCTTGTTCCAAATGTTGTTCGACATGTCCATCAACACACAAGAAGTTTTTTCGTTTCTTTGCTTTGCATACATGGCCGAATGAAAAAAAATACTGTTTAGAAAAAAGGCCTTGTTTAGAAAAACGGCCCTGTTGTACAACGTATGGCTGCTGGCTGGATGTACACGGCGTTCCTGTGGGTGCAGACGGCGTATAGGTTAACTCTCACCCCCGACATTCTCAAGTATTTCACCAATCACCATCCGTCCATGCCTACCTGTTGGTTCGAGGCAGATTACCATGGAAAGATATTTTCGTTAACGAGACGTGTGTTTCTTCTCCGGTTTTTCGATGTGAGTAGAAGCGTGTTTTTTTAAAGCGTGGCCCGAGTTCGCGCCGCCCCCCGCCCCAATTGCCAGAGGTTGTGACCGCCGTAGTGGTGTCGGCACTTTGCCGCAGAGGTGCCACGGGGCCGTCACTGCTACACCAGCCGGCTTGTAGGCGTGGACTAGACGCGGACGGTGCCCCCTCTCCTATCGTGGTCTGCACGGGGGTGTAAATGGATCAGTTCGGTGTGTAGAGTTGTAACCGCGATCTTGTCGCTGCAAGAAAAACCACGCGATGCCTGTCTTTTTCTTTCTGTTGACAACGAAAGCGCGTTCTCACACCATCCCCACGAAAAAATTCCGCCGCAACCGTTGGTCCTTGTTGCTGTTAAGGACAGGTGAACCGTCACAACGACATCTACGTGTGCATGGTGTCGTTCTCCCACTGTGTGGCCAGCCCTGGCAAGTACGTGGCCATCGCGTCCACCACGGTTGAGACCAGCGACCCCCTCGCCGAGCTCGCACCTGCCTTCGAGCTCCTAGGCCCCGTAATGGAGAGGCAAGTAATCCATCTCTTGGAAGGGCGGGATATCGCATGTACCATCATTTTGATTTTCTCGAGATGACTGAACAGACGAGAGAGATGAAAAGGTCCGCAGTTTTTATGGTTGGTCATTTCAGTTTGAAGAAGCTTGTTCGCGCTTGCCCTTCTGTTCGCGGCCGGACACATAACGTCTGTCTCTGTGTTGGTTAGGGTGACTCGCAACTTTTGCTAATTTTACCTCATCTGCGTTTTTCCTCTGCATTACTTCGATCTCGGCCGGTTGAGGTTTTGTGTTTGCCGTGGGTTGGTTGTTTACCCTTGACTGCTGTTTGACATAAGATGCCCTTTCGTTTTTGCGCGTACGTTGTTCGTCTCACTTGCTTTGCCCCCTCCCCCACCGTTCTGTGTGGTTGGTTGCTGTGTGTTCACATTTTGCTGTGTTTGTTTCGTTGACGCGCAGGTTTGACGACGTGTCGAACACCCTTACCCCCGTGGAGGACGGCACCGCCGACCGTTGCTTCATCAGCGAATCGTACGATGCGACCAGGTGAGAGAAGGAAGAGGGGGGAGGGTACTCATAGTCGTGCATGCCGTAGTCGTTACACCATTGACCTCGCATCCTTACAATGCCGGGACGGAGCACGCCGGGTCTCACGTGACCAGGCTCTCACATCACCAAGCGCGAAGCGCCGTGAGGTACAGGCGAGTCGCATGAAGGGTGCGCTGCATCCTGCTAAGGGTGTTCGGCATGTTGTGCTTGCTTCCTTGCGTACGGATGACAGCTGCGTATGACTTGATTTATATTCTGGTGCTTTCACTTCCAGAGACAGTGATGAGCACTGTGTAACTGCCACGAGGGTGCTTGACCATTTAAACACAACGTGGCGCAATCAGCCCCCTTGCGCGGAGTGAGGTTTCTCCACCCCGCAAAACAAAATCTACTCGACCACCATTATGGTTGCCACCACAATAAAAACAGAGGTAAAAAAAGACGGTAACCTGGTTGCCGAGTTCACGAAGTGAAATGGCTTGTTTTTCAACGTCGTTGTCAAGCGACGAAAACCCAATCCCGATGGCAAACACCGAGGGGGGGGGGCTTGCTTCACGACGTCGTTGCCAAGCGACGAAAACCCAACCCCGATGGCAAANCGGAGCACGCCGGGTTCTCACCGGACCAGGCTCTTACATCACCAAGCGCGAAGCGCCGTGAGATATTGGGCGAGTCGAGTCGCATGAAGGGTGCGCTGCATCCGGCGAAGATTGTTCGGCATCCTATGCTTACTTGCTTGCGTACAGATGTCAGCTGCGTATGACTTAATTTATTTTCTGGTGCTTTCACTTCCAGAGACAGTTATAAGCACTGTGTAACTGCCTCGAGGGTGCTTGACCATTTTAACACAGGGGGGAGTGGGGAAAGGGAAGATGGCGAAGGGGGCAACCAAGGGGGGGGGGGCATCGTTCGCTATCTGCTCGTGCTTACGCTGCGTTTGGGAGGCAGTGTCCTCGCAAGTCTCTTGCGCACGGACACATTTCCAGACGCTCTCGCGCCCTGTGGTCTCCAATCTTGACCCCCCTATCCCATGTCCCGCTTCCGCCTTTGCTTTTTTTTTTCTGGAACAGCCACTTCGAGACGACTGCGGCCGACGTACAGAGCCTGTACGAGCGCGTGACCGGGCAAAAGTTGGACCTTTCCATCGACCCGGAGGTGGAGCAGGAGGAGGGCTGAACAAGTGTTGCTGCAGCAGCTATTCTTGCGTGCCCAGTAGCAGCGGTGCACTCCTAACCTGACGCGAGCACCTTGCTACTCCTGGCTCTCGAGAAAATCGGGGCTCGCCTCATCCGGCCGTCGACCTGGTTGTATCCAGTCGGTCCTTCCTCCACCTCTCTCTCTTTTGTTCTCTCTTTTGCTCGTTGTCTTCGTTTTCTTTCTGTTTTCTAAGTTTGCGGTGACGTGAGACCAAAGGGCCTACAGTCGGTGTAGGCCTTGGTTGTGCTACCGCTGTAGTGACTGACGACTCTCCTACAAGCTTTTTTGTTTCCTTTATTGTTTTTTCATGGGGCTAATTTCGGATGGTTTTGTCTCCGGGCAACAGCCTCTGCTGAACACAAGACTACCGCTGTCCTCCGGACGGCGCGGGGG